TTTTGCAAGTGCAGAATGATTTAAAATGAATTAAGTATCTTACAAATAATTCCAATCCCGTCATGTCACTTGTGCGTTTTTATTTATCTCGTGCGCACGAGGTACTATGTCGTTGCCACGAGTTACTAAGTCGTGCGCACGAGATAATTAAGTGCTGCGAACGAGATACTGTGTCGTGGCAACGAGTAACTAAGTCGTGGGAACGAGATAAATAAATCGTGTGCACAAGATAATTAACCAATCAGATTACACTATGTATATGAATTTTCATTTTTAGAAATGTGCTTTAGTACAAAGATGCCCCTACTTCACCTGCATGTCAAAGTGTCATTGAACTACGATTTTACATTTAGCGTCATTGTGACCCTGATTTCTGACCCAATGACCTTAAAATTAAAAGTAGTCATATGCTGATCAGATGCAAAGATTTTTCTAGATTACATAAATCATGGCTAATTTCTTCATAATAATTCATGCGCACGAGGTACAATGTCGAGGCCACGAGTTAGTAAGTCGTGCGCACTAGATACTATATTGTGGCCACGACTTACTAAGTTGTTGGAACGAGATAATTAAATGGGGCGCACGAGATACTATGTCATGGCAAAGAGTAACTATTTCGTGCGCAAAAGATACTATGTCGTGTTCACCAGTTACTTAGTCGTAGCAATGAGATAATGAAGTGGTGCGCACGATATTCCATGTCGTGCACACAAGATAATTATTTAATCATATTACAATCATTACACTATATATTTGAATTTTCTTAGTTAACTAGAAATTTGCACGGTGGCGGAGAGATGACATGTGTGTGTTTTTATTTTTCTCGTTCGCGCGAGATACTATGTCGTGACCACGATTTACTAAGTCATGCACACGCGATAATTAAGTTGTGCGCACGAGATACGTTTTTCAGTAATTTCTTTTGGTTGTAATGTAGGTAAATGACAACTAAATCTTTAGTGCTTTTGACCCAAAGTGACTCAGAAGTAGCAAATATGCAAGTACTTGAAACATCACATTAATCAAACAGAGAAAATAAGAATCCCTAAAGAAAGTCCAAAACGGCAAAATTGAAAATAATACAGGCTCGGTTAAATTAAGCATGTTCATGGATGGTACTGTAAAGTGCAAACCACCGTCCACGCCCCTAGCACCGGCTTAAGCAGAATTCAACATTTAATCATGGTGAAATTTTGAATTTTGAAACATCCACAGATGTTCAACGACGGTTATTATGGAACCTTCAATGTAACACATTCGTGCCATTCCATGAAAATCAGCGTATGGTCCCTAACTAAAAGAATGCGTGTGCCATAAACGAGAAAACAATGGGCGGAACTTTACTTTTAGCACACATCTTAAAACTCGAAACAACTGCAATTTTCGTTGTTAATCGAGCATTAAATATGTTCTAAAACGCACTTAGAAGTCGCCATTGCGCTTTGCCGTATTTGAAAGTCTGTTCCGAACAAAGATAAATTACTAGCGGAGGATTTTGACAATAAGTTATACATACTAAATAGGGGATGTGACATTTAACTTCTTTTTGAGCGGTGGGCCATGTGTGATTTTTACAAAAAGACACATAAATTAATGTTAAAATATATTTATGACTGTTCTTAAACAAAATAGCATAATTCGGGTCTGGGCGGGGATTAGGGGTTGTCATGACTCCTAGCTCCCCATGGATACACACATGTGATGTTCACGTACAGGAAAAAGGGCCAAATTTGTGTTCATATTATCTTGGTATGACATATTCAAAATATTTATAGATAAGAGCAAATCCAACATTTCTGAACCAATGAAATCGCTAGCTAGAAGTTGTTAAAAGCATTGCACCACCTATGAATATTTTAAAATAATATATGTGTGTAAATTCCAATTCAATAGTTTATCCAATGAAAATGTACGTTATGATAAAAACCCTTTAAGGACGTAAAAGCTCGGTTTGATTATGTTCTTAGATGGGCCTGAAAGTGCAAACTATGGTACAAGCCTTATTACATCGGTATTATGTGATGCCTGAAACAAATTATTGCTTTGTCTGTGAATTTATTCTGAATATACTTCCTTAGACCATTGTTGTTGTTGTTGTTTTTTTTCACAATGGCTTTCATTTAATTATCGTATAAAGATTTCAACACTTGACGCAAATATTGTAAATACAGAACGAAAATTTATCGTATGATACATGCGGTTATATAAATAAAATTATAGAACTAATGAGGTTACTTGATCAATTAGGTTTCAATTTACATAAACACGGCCATTGTATATGTTACGGGAAAAATAAAATTCAAGATTGTTCTTAAAGCAGCATAAAAAATTTCGAAAATGTATTTACAAGTCAAATTTTGTGAAGTGAACAAAGGAAGTAATTTACACATTGTAAACGGCCCTTACAATCCATGTAAATAACCGAAAAGATGTAAAAAGAAATTGCAAAATTAGCCCTAACTACGTTAGTCACGCAGTTGAAATGTTGAAGTATAGTGATAGATACTGCAAAATCAGACAGTTATCGCACATAAAATGTTTACTATAACTTGTATCAAGGTTCTTTAAAAGTTGAGTATATTTTTCTCAAGTTTTGAGTTCTTGAAACATTTTGGCTAATCTGGAGACACGCAGGTTAAGAAACTAAAGTCACTCTGTACTTGTATTCATAAAATACTTATATAAAATGATAATACTCTAATGATTATAAAAAATGAAAAGTTAATTGTATTATCTTTATTTAAATGGTGACGAGAATGTTAATTAGGTAATTTCTTCTCTGAAACTATGTTGTTCTTATATCTAGAAAGATATGATATTTTCTTACACATGTGGCCGAAACAGTCATTATCTTTGTATGAGGAAGGATATATCCACTTCAAAAGTTTTATTATGTTCAGCCAGTTGAAAATGGTAACCGGAAAAAGCTTCTATCCTCGTTACATTGTTTCCTGTTGATCAGTAATTATACATATTGTTTTATACATGTATAGGAAAATTTTAGTTCTACAGTGAACTTCACTTTATAGCGAACTCATTTATAGCAAATTTCCGGTTATTGCTTAGTTTGGTTTTCGTTGGAGCAGATAAAAATTGGTCGACTCTAATTGTGCTGCTATTTCAGTACAACTATAAAATTGACTTTGCATAAATGTATATTTCTTAATAAAATATCTTTAGCATGATTTGTTGTCACGAAGGTAACAGGAATGTTCGTATTTATCCCATTATATATTGTCGTTACTTCGTTCACTCGATGAAAGAGATTTATGATAAAAAAGCATTATGACGAATTGTATTTCTTGAGTAAAATTCGTCAAACAAATAAATGGTATGATTGATTAAAATAAAGATATATATTTATATATCATGTACATATTTTTCTTTTATATTACATCTTGTGATTCAATAAAATAGTGACATAATAAGATCATGATCATGACATTTTCTTTAACTCGTTCACTTTACATGTAAGAATATTATGCCAGTAACGTCATTATGGATAACACACACAATACGGGCTTACTTTTACTGTCGGATTGTATATTTGTATAGGTTGAAGAATAAGATATCAAAATATTTATATAATAAATAACTATATTATCTGGTATTCACCTTAAAATGATTGGATAGTTTGTTGTCTGTTCAACAGTGATGCCTTTATTGCTGTGTTGCCTAAACTATAGTTGAACCAAAGCGATTTAATTATTACACCAAGTTCTAGAGTTTGTTTTAACATAGGATTTTAAAAAGAATATTTTGATGTGAATCGTCTATTTGGTGAGATATAGAGGATATTGAATGAGTGTAAGTTCAATACTGAATTTATTGCACGAGTTGAATAAAATTATTTTATGCGAGCCTCTGGCGAACTCTTAAAATCAATTTCCGGCAGCAGTTTACACTATGTTTGTATAACGCAAATGGTGTCACGTCAAAATATATGTACGGCCATGCAATACCATTTTTACAGAGTCGCAAAAGCGCACGGCTATGTGATAAATTGTATTATAATTATTTAATTTTACCCATGAAATATGGCGCTAAATCAGTCAAATATATTTCATATTTGTAAAACATAAATATGAGGCGGAGTCAAAACTCATATTTATTTTAAGGGACTTCTTTCGCCATTTGATATATATAAAACACTTTTGTTGAATTTTGTTTTGAAAACTATGGAGAATAATAAAAAAATGGTCTAACTAAGAAAATAAATCCGAACATCAATATCTTTAATTCAGTCATTATTGCTGTACTGACGTTTAAATAGTTGTTTACGTGACGGCACAATGAAGCGCCAAACATCGCGTGCACTATAAGTAGTAAATATTACTGCTCAATGTACAATTGCAGTTGTGCAGCAAGCAAAGGAAATCGTAACCATTTTGTCTTTGATAATGAAATTGAATAAATAGGTTAATATTTCGTTTTTCGTTAAATATGGTATTTATTTTCACTCAACATAATAAAATGCCACATATTTTCACTCGCCGTCCGGGCTCGTGAAAATTTGTGGCATTTTATCATGTTTTGTGAAAATATATTCCATATTTCACTCAAACGAAAAAATATTCTTGTTATTTAATTTTACCCATGAAATATGGTGCTATAACAGTCAATTATATTTCATATTTGTAAAACAAAAACATGAAACATAAATATGAAAGTGGGCGGAGTCAAAACTAATTTTTATTTAACGGGACTTATATTTGGTTTAATGAATTTGATAAATAAAAAACATCTTTTTGTTGAACTTTATTTTGAATTTTGTTTACGTGACGTCACAATGTGGCGCCAAACATCGAGTGCAAAATAAGACGCATATATAAATAAAAAAATATTACTACGCAAAAATTTAGAAATGAAGCTTTAAAATGCAGATCCAATGATAGTTAATAATTTCCCGCGCGAAATAAACCAATCCGCTTTGACTAACATATTAAAAGCGTCCTCACTGAAAAGTTGTACCAGTAAGGAAGCTATTTTTATACAAACACACTTACATGATGTACTTGTTATAGCTATTATATTCATTCTGGCATTATTTATATGGTATGTGAAATTATTCATCCAATCAACAAAGGAACAATTTATGAGTAAACAGAAAATGTGAAAAATGACAATTAAGGTAAGTTTTGTACAATTATCATAAACAATGATTAGAAACCTGATCACAAGGTTTAAATGGCATGTCGATTATTTAATATCTGTATTAATTTCATGCTCAACGATATATTGAATGGGATGATCTAAAAGAGGTGAGGTTAAATTAGTCATGGTCTATAATTATTCAATTTTTAATAAGTTATTCAAATATTACACTTTCGTAGAAGCTTTGCCCACCGTGTTACCGGTGTTGCGTTATTATTACACGGGATTTATTACCACGGTTTATACATGTTCTTTTGAACTTGCGCTTTAAAAATTGGTATACTAGTATTAATCTTCAGCATAGCACAATTATTTCGGAGCATGTATTTGAATATTCTAACAGTATTTATTTTCTTAAGAACTTATGCGTGAAATTGAGCTAAATCACCAAATTTTACATCTTTCTTAGCGCATTTTGAACTTTTTTTGCAAGGTTCTTAAAGTATTATATTTATAAAAATAATTGATTTTAAAACTTGTCAAGTGTGTTAAACTTTGTTTCTTGTCAATGTCTTATTTCTAAATTGGCTAGAACTGATCTTAAGCTGTAGTTGAAAATTGCCAATTATTCCGAACACTAGGTCAAATTACGTGAAAATTTTACCCGAAAGGGTTCTACAAATGTAAAACTTGTCATTCATAAACATACACATACACAATTATTCTTAACAATAAAGATTTAGTAACTTGTCATATAGTCTTTTGTTTACAATTCAATTATTTGTTGTACTCAACATTCACCATAAATATATAAATAACATTATTACAATTTCTGTTGTAATGTTTCAAGTGTTGTAAAATGAATACAATATCCGATTATTTTAAGAACATATTTTATTTATTCAAATTATTGTGAACACTAATAACATCAGCGGCAAATATCGTTTTCAAATTTAAGTTTTGTAAAATCACAGACACTTGGGGTTTGGAGCTCAAAACGCCTTTAAAATCCAAATAAAATGCATATTTGTCAATCCCAGCACATGTACTGATCATATACATGTATATAAAAAAAAACTTAATAGCCGTTTTGAGAAAAAAATCATATTTCAACCTCTATGACACAAGATAAAAATGTTCGCCGAAAAAAATCCGCACCCCTACCGTCATAATCACCATGTATTTTATTCCATTTCCAATATTTTCACATAATCCTTTGGTCCATCGACACAGAAGATATAATTCTTCACGATGATGGTCAATTTTTAACTTCAACGGTAATATAAACAACGCAACAGCCGAAATAAATATCAAGATTATCGCCGTTTTCCTTCAATGACATTATCTTTCGATAAATTCAAACGTGCCAGTCGGCTATGACCGAAGCCATCCGATAATGTGGCCCCAGCTTTGCCGTGTGCAAAATGCGCAGCGCTTTTAAGTTTGGGAACCACATAATCGGATGGCTTCGGTCATAGCCGACTGGCACGTTTGAATTTATCGAAAGATAATGTCATTGAAGGAAAACGGCGATAATCTTGATGTTTATTTCGGCTTTTGCGTTGTTTATATTACAGTTGAAGTTAAAATTGACCATCATCGTGAAGAATTATATTTTCTGTGTCGATGGACCAAAGGACTATGTGAAAATATTGGAAATGGAATAATATACATGGTGATTATGACGGTAGGGGTGCGGATTTTTTCCGGCAAACATTTTTATCTTGTGTATTATTATAGATGTTGAAATATGAAATTTTTTCAAAACGGCTTATATTAAGTTTTTTTGATATATATGACCAGTACATGTGCTGGGATTGACAAATATGCATTTTATTTGGATTTTAAAGGTGTTTTGAGCTCCAAACCCAAAGTGTCTGTGATTTTACGAAGAATTTTGCGATATTTTAAAGTGTGCTATTTTTAGTAACAAATCGATATTGGAAAGGGCGGACCTAGGTTGAGTAGGACTCGTTGCAGTGTGAAAGTTAATATCAATCTATTTTGATTCCATGGACATTTTAGTAGATTAGCTCACATATTTTTAATACATTTTGAACTTTTGACGTTTCATTTTTGTTAAAATGGGAGTGAATCGCGTATGTGTAGGAATACGTCAGAAGTGCTGCACGTTGAGTGTGAGATAAGCCAATGTGAGATAAGATTTTCCAACACCGCTATTTTTAGTAACATTTACGGATTTTTCTATCTGGTTAGTGAGAAACTAAGATCCCACATTCACCATAATAAATGTCAACATCTTACAGATAGGACCGAGGTCCCATATGTTCAGGACTGCTGTGATCAGGGTTGCCTCTGAATCTGGACAAACTAGGCAACTACTGTATATCAAAGTTCTCATCCATGCTATTTCACTCATACACTTTATCTAGATCTTATCTCTTAAAATAATGATATAAGTGCCAAATAATGTGTTGTACTCAATGATCATATACCAAAATATTTTTCCAGGAAGTAATGACTGTTATAAATAAAATATATTCAACTAACAAAATTAAGATTTTTTTCATCAAATCAAAGTCATTAAAATAAATAATAATGTCATATGAAGTTACATAATTACACTAGAAATTAAATATCATTTCAACAGTTCTCTTATAATATATGTTTTGTTGGTGTTTTGAAATTTACCAAGTTATGTTAAAATCCAAAATAATAAATTTATATAAATAAATTTATTCATTCATGTTTGTTTTTATGATTTAAATTCCCATAAATGGTGCAGTTTCTATTTTGAATCATTGCTACGGTCATGCATAATGTCTCTGACTGATGATTCCTTGCATTCTCAACTATCAATTATTATTATAGTTGTTAACTCAACTTTTTTCTTATTATCAAACCAATTTAGATATAACATGGTCTATAGAATTTAATCTAGTTTATCTATCTTTTTATAATCATCAAATTTATCACCATTATCAAAACACTTCAGCACTGTAACTACCATCATCATAATCATCATCATAATGCAATCAACATATTTCTGCTCATCATAATTATCATCATAATGCAATCAACATATTTCTGCTCATCATAATTATCATCATAATGCAATCAACATATTTCTGCTCATCATAATCATCATCATAATGCAATCAACATATTTCTGCTCATCATAATTATCATCATAATGCAATCAACATATTTCTGCTCATCATAATCATCATCATAATGCAATCAACATATTTCTGCTCATCATAATCATCATCATAATGCAATCAACATATTTCTGCTCATCATAATTATCATCATAATGCAATCAACACATTTCTGCTCATCATAATCATCATCATAATGCAATCAACATATTTCTGCTCATCATAATTATCATCATAATGCAATCAACACATTTCTGCTCATCATAATTATCATCATAATGCAATCAACACATTTCTGCTCATCATAATCATCATCATAATACAATCAACATATTTCTGCTCATCATAATCATCATCATCATAATGCAATCAACATATTTCTGCTCATCATAATTATCATCATAATGCAATCAACATATTTCTGCTCATCATAATCATCATCATAATGCAATCAACATATTTCTGCTCATCATAATCATCATCATAATGCAATCAACATATTTCTGCTCATCATAATTATCATCATAATGCAATCAACACATTTCTGCTCATCATAATTATCATCATAATGCAATCAACACATTTCTGCTCATCATAATCATCATCATAATACAATCAACATATTTCTGCTCATCATAATCATCATCATCATAATGCAATCAACATATTTCTGCTCATCATAATTATCATCATAATGCAATCAACATATTTCTGCTCATCATAATCATCATCATAATGCAATCAACATATTTCTGCTCATCATAATCATCATCATAATGCAAACAACATATTTCTGCTCATCATAATCATCATCATCATAATGCAATCAACATATTTCTGTTCATCATAATCATCATCATAATGCAATCAACATATTTCTGCTCATCATAATTATCATCATAATGCAATCAACATATTTCTGCTCATCATAATTATCATCATAATGCAATCAACATATTTCTGCTCATCATAATCATCATCATAATGCAATCAACATATTTCTGCTCATCATAATCATCATCATAATGCAATCAACATATTTCTGCTCATCATAATCATCATCATAATGCAATCAACATATTTCTGCTCATCATAATCATCATCATAATGCAATCAACATATTTCTGCTCATCATAATCATCATCATAATGCAATCAACATATTTCTGCTCATCATAATCATCATCATAATGCAATCAACATATTTCTGCTCATCATAATTATCATCATAATGCAATCAACATATTTCTGCTCATCATAATCATCATCATAATGCAATCAACATATTTCTGCTCATCATAATCATCATCATAAAGTGTGTCACGTAACTTTTCATTTTCTCTTTTAAAATGTTTTGCACAGCTCATGAAAGTTAAGAAAAATTGAATGTTTTTTTATTTTAAACTGTAATTGAACAGTTTGAATAGTATTATCAATTTTATTCTGTTTTAAAATTCTAAATTATATTCGCCACATATTTAACAATTTTTGCTCATTTGTGTATATAATTTTTTTTTTCTCCATTACTCATTTATCACCCTAATCACATTTGTGCTGTCTTAAACTTAAAGCTGCATAAAAGAAATTCATAACAAATAAATAGCTACATTGTGTTAATTAAATGTGTTTCATATCGACTCCCGCTCTTATTTTGGTGTACAGACAGCCAAAATGAGTTTTTTAGCCTAAAACTCTGCAACATCATTGTGGCGAAATCAATAGAAAATTAACAATTATTTTTAAGTAGAAGTCCAAATTTAAACGGTATATTTCAACGTTATATTACGGATGTTTTCATACCAATTCGAGTTTTTATGAGACGATTACTTTTTGTTAACGAAGGGCTAATGCACTGTGAAACTAAAACGTTAATATCTCATATTTGCTGTGATCAACATGGTAACAATTGATTTTAC